AGGAAGGAAGGAAGGAAGGAAGGAAGGAAGGAAGGAAGGAAGGAAGGAAGGAAGGAAGGAAGGAAGGAAGGGCCACTCTGGCTACCACCTGTACTGCTGGCGTGGTTTTTCTGCCTTCCAGGTCCCACTGAAGGCTGAGCATCTGGGGTGACTTTCTGCAGGCCGTGCCCTGCCTGTCACACAGACATGACCTCTGCCCATCGTTTGGATGGGTCCAAATGACACGTGGGGAAGAGCCCAATTCATATCCCTTCTCTCTCCCTTCCTTCTACGACTCCAGCCTCATGGCCTCCTTGCCGTTCACTAAGCAACCCACCCAAAGGCTCCCCTGCAACAAGATTTTGGAGCCAAAAAAAGGAGGGGAGGCAGGCCAAGAATGGAGGCCAGGTGAATCTGGAGCAGGTCCATGAAGAGTAGTCCATGGTGGCCCACAGGACCAAGTGCTTTGCTACCAGCCAAATGTTTGATGGGATAGTCTTGAGGCTGGGATTGATAAACCCAGCGAGGCCGTTCCTCCTAAAACGCATGCCTCCTGGCCTTTAGCTTGTAATTACTTAGACCTTTCCTGGCTTCCCTCGGTATCCCCCATAATCTAGGAGTTTCGTCCACAGACAATCAACCAGCAACCTGCTGGACCCAAACTGATCTCGGATGAGACTTCCTACACACTCCCAGCCCTTGAGGAGAGGAAGGGATGCTGAGGGTGTGATGGGACGTGGGGCTGTGTCTTCACAGTGGGGACAGGTGACAAGCATGCCTGATCAAGGCCTGGGGCTCACACAACAGGACCAAGGGACAGAGCAATGGGTCTTCCTGCTTTTCAGCTACAGCCCGTACCGGAAAGCTCTCCTCGAGTGTGAACTGAGGTGCCTCGGGCCAGCGAGTGCTTCACTGGGCATGACCTTGTCCCCGGGTGTGGAGAAGTGTTTGGCTCTCACAGCTAGGTCATCGTGACTGGCAGATGGAGTGTGGAGGATAAAGATGCTGTGATTGTGCCACACAAGGCAACCCTCACAAGGACCTTCCGGTCCAAAACGCCCATGGTGCAGATGCTGAGTGACCTGTGTTAGTCACAGAGGCTGTGTGACGGGTCCTTCTGCCCAGGGGGGTGCAGTTGGAGCAGCCTCTCTCTGAGACTCTGGGGCCTTCCGTGGAGTCCCCACACCTCCTGTGAGGGGCCATCTTCCTCACACTGCCGGATTGTGCCTTGTGCATATCTCTGAGGTGGCCACATGGGCTCCCAAAGAGCTCAGAATGGCCAAGGAAGGCAGGCTTTAGAACCAGACACCCAAAGCAACAGCTTCAAAACGTAGAAAAGAAATGCTAAGGGGAAACTACAGGGGCGGGGGGGGGGGGGAAGGTTCTATGGTGGCTTTTAATGGGACAGGCTGAGACAAGACCGGAATGCTGGCCTGGTCCTCACTTCTCAGAAATCGGGGAGATGGCTAGTGTTTCCTCTATCCTCCCCACCTCCCCCAGCCGGAGCTGCTGACACAATCTTCAGATTGTCCTCAGCCTTTGTATTGAGAAGCCTCGGGGCCATCTACCCACCTCCGAGGACGTGCCTCAGCCTGCCACGGCGATGAATACTTTGGGGAAGCCGGAGCCCTGTGTACTGCTTGTCCCTCCCATGGCTCCTGAGGAGGGTCCACTCAGCCCACAGCAAGGCCCCGCTAACCCAGCCGTTCTGAGTGCAGACCAGCAAGGAAGGCTAACAGCGTGATGAGGGGCTGACCTCAGACGGACGGACAGACGGACGGACGGTAGGGCCCGGGAGGGAAGGAAGTCCGGGTAAGAGCCCTCAGTGAAGAGGAGAGGCAGGGCAATTTGCCGTGTGTGAAGAGATAAGCCAGGACCACTGCGCTCTGCCTTTAGGACCAGCAGGATACAGAGTGGAGAGAGCTATACAAATACTGTAGGTTTTGAATTGGAGTCTAGAGCGAGTTATCTTATCTGTCTAGAGGTGATGATCCCTGGGATTAGAAGAGTTCCCACGGGGAAAGCATTGTGCACACTGAAGGCCTAGAAGGCCTTAAGGGAACCTTCCATTACCCTCTGAGCAGGAAGAGAGTAAGTAGAAAGATGCTTCAAGCTGGACAACTCAGCGAGTCTTGAGGACCGCCTGGGTTTGAAAACGGGGGCGGCAGGGCAGAGGGGCAGCTGCATGGGCACCAGAACGGAACCCGAGAGGGGAGCTGGGCTGCGGGGTGCTACCTGGGGTCTGGAAGGAGCTTGGCCTCGGCTCCGGTGTGCTGCGCCTGAAGTTCAAGCTGGACATGGCGAGCTGAGCCGAGTGACATTAGCTCGCAACTCAAGCCCTCAGAAGTTGGAGGCAGGAAGTCAGGGCCTTCAAGGCCAGCCTTGGCTACACAGTAAGCTTGAAGCCAGCTTGGTGGGTATGAGGCTGTCTCCCACACCCAAAACAGGAATAAAAAAAAAATGAAATAAAATAAAACCTAAGGGAAGAAAAAAAAAAAAAAAAACACAGCCTTCAACACCCCGCAGATCTTCCTCCTCCAAACCAGCGGTGGAGCGTCACCCCCCTCTGTGTAGACTTCTGTGTCACAGCCAGAGAGGGTTTGGGCAGCTTGGCCTCACTGCCACAGCGTCCCTAACCCGTTCTTTTTCGGTTTTGTTTTTCGAGACAGGGTTTCTCGGGGTAGCCCTGGCTGTCCTGGAACTCGCTCTGTAGACCAGGCTGGCCTCGAACTCACAGAGTTCCACCTGCCTCGGCCTTCTGAGTGCTGGGACTAAAGGCGTGCGCCACCATGTCCAGCCCAGACTTTATATTTTGAAACGCCCTAGGGGACATAGAACCGAGTTCCGTCAACTTTTCCTAAGGGTTGGGAAGCAGCTTGTGTCTGGGCTAAGTGCTGGCTGGCTTCTAGCTATTGCTACTAGGAACAGCTTTCCCCATGTCTTGGAGTGCGGGCCATCTGAGTAGAGAGAGCCGGGCTGTGGAGGAGGCCTACCCACTCACCCCTCGGAAACCTGCCAAGAGGGGACCCTTCTCACCCTTCCAGGGCCAAAGCGACCACCAGGAGGAGAGGGCCTAGAGAGAGCACAGAGCATCTTGGGAATGTAAAATGGTCTCGTTGCCTCCAGGGCCCAGAGAATCTTGCAACGGCCCAGCAGGAGCCAGCGTCACAGCAGACAGACACCTCGGGCTGCAGACAGAGGCTTTGGGGGAGGCCCAAGATCTGTGGGGTGTGTACTGACCCTTCCAAAGGCGTGTGACCACCCAAATTCAGGCTGATCTAGAAAGGCGAACTCTCTGAGGGGTTGTCTCCCTTTGGGTTGCATGTGAGTGTCCTGAGGTCAGGGTGGGGTGAGGCTTAAGGTCTACAGGCAGAGCCAAGCACAGTGGTCTTATTTTCACATCCAGTCTGCTGCTTCCAAGGCCGCAGATGGGGGGAGGGGTGTCTAGGGAAGAGGGGACTGGGCTGGCGCCCACATGGTGTTGCTTCCTAGACCCAAGGTCGCATAGTGTTCTCCATCTAGGCTGCCACATCTCTTGCTGGGACAACACAATACGGCTTCAGCTGCCCCAACCCAGTGGACTGCCCCGCGGCCAGTGGACTCCTCCGACTGCCTGGCGCCTTTCTCCTCCTGAATCCTGTCACGGCTTCCCACGACCACAGACATTATCGTGTAACGGGGACACTCCATGAGTGGAAGAAGGTGTCTTAATAACTGGGCCAGGACAAGAGGGATACACCGGTCTATTTCAGACCAGCCAGCTTGTAGGATCCCTTTCCAAACGAGGCTCTGGGCCTGCCTGCCCCTCTGTTCTTCCATGTGGGCACCTAACCCCCAGCCACACTAATAATGTGCTTTTGTGTGCCCCGGACACATCCTTAAACAGCACCACCTGCTTTTTTTTGGTATGTGCTGCTGCTGACGGCCCCCTCAGCCCCACATTCCTCATCTTCGTACCGCCTTCCCGTTTTATCTCACAACTGGAACAGGTTCCTCCGTTCATCCTCAGGAGGGGCCCCCTGCAGCGCTGCTGTCCGTCCCCACAGCACTCTGGGCTCCTGAACCAACATTCCTCACCAGCTGCTGTTCCCCATGTGCCCCCTGCTGTCCACGGAGAACGGGGTCCACTGACCCACAGTGCAGCGGGCCCCTGGTTATCACCTGCTAGACAGACAGATGGATACGTCCCCGCCCTCCATCTGCTAGCCATGTGGCCTTGGGCAGGCAACTTGATCTCCCTGAACTACAGACCGATTTCTAAACTGGGAATAAACTGACGTTACCTTATTGAGACGCTGTAACCACGTGAAATGCCCGGCACCCAGTAAGGGTTTGGCAAGTTCACCTGGCACCAACTCTCGAGGCACACAGCAGGTGCTTTGCAAGTATTAGTAGAATGAGGAGCCTTTCATCTGGTACTGGCTCTCCAGTGTACTGGTGTGTCACTGAGAGCCTCTGGGGTGGGCGCATCTTGTCTGCTCACGGCTGACAAGCTCCAGGAAGCCGGGGTGGCATGGGCAGCTTCTCCTAAGAAGCCTGCCTGCACCTCCCGGCTCTGTCCATCAGGTACTCGGCGATGGACAGAAAACACGGAACACTCCCCTCAGCGTTAAGGCCTGTATCTTAGAACCTGCTGAACAATCTCAAGCCTTGTGTTGCACACCTCATGTTGAGATTCAGGCCTGTTGATAAGCACTGGCCTGCCCAGGGTGCCCACAGCTAGAGAGGTCTACACACAGCTCGCACTGCTCACACCTGTGACCCCAGCACAGCTCCCTGCTTCTGGCAGGAGCGAGAAGGACACCCAAGGAGGACCATGTCCACTCTTGCTCTGTCCCCCCTAACAGTGTGCCTAGTGCACCACTGGACACTTTTCTGCACTGGTTGAATTAATCCGTGAGTTAATGAACGAACCAGCCAAGGAACTGAGAATCATGACGGCAATGGAGACATGAAGACCAGAGGCTTTGAGGCTCGTAGCAGGCCTGGACCTCAGTCCCACCCTTTGGTGGCCGAGAGACCTGGGCGGGTCGCCATCTGCACTGTGCCTTCCTCACCTGCAGAAAGCGAACCACGAAGCTCCCTATTTTCGTGGCTGCTCTGCCAACACAATGAGATCACACAGATCTGGCTCTGCAGATGTTCACGGCTACTGCTCATCACTGTGGTGTCTCATAGAACAACAATGCCTGCCAGTCAGGTTAGTATAGAGCATTGCTGTTACTGGTCAGTAAAACCAGTGCTGGGGTGGGACGCGGCTGACGACCAGGGGACAGACTATTCAGCTTTCCACTCACTTCCCTTCTGTGCCATCTTTTTTTTTTTTTTTTTTTTTTTTTTTTTTTTTTTGAGACAAAGGCAGGGACCGAGAGGCAGGACCCAGGGGAAGAAAGAGCACGCACCCTGCTGGGCATATCACAAGTAAAAAGGCAGATGGTAGCAGGAGGTAAAGGGAAGCATACAGAGGCTGACTTCTATATACCAGTCCTGGAGGCAGCAGCAAAGAGTTCAGAGGTCATCTTCAGTGGGGCTAAGCCCTAGCCAGTGGGGATGCAGGGTGGATGCAATTGCAATAAATGGAGTGTTTCCTGGTAGCCAGCCCAGGAGCTACATCCACTGCCCACAGACAGGACATTGCCACTCAACATCCTACTTTGTTAACATGAGTCCTAGAATACTGTGGTAGCCACAAGGGGCCGAAAGGGATAGTGCCAGGTCAATCGTACCCAGGATCTAACCTCAGCGGAGAATAACATGGATCCTTCTACCTTCTCTGGGTTGGCATGCCCCGATGATGTCCCCAGCTGCGGGGCACATCAGCCCCTGCAAAGGACAAGGTGCCTTCCCACCACAGCTGCCCCGCTCACCCTCTGCAGAAACTCCGTCCGCTCCTTCTTCTTGTTCCGGCATCTGGCAGCGGCAACTTTGTTCTTCTCTCTGCGCCTTTTCCTTCTCTCTTCTTCCTCATCTAGCTGTGAGGGCACAGAGCCACGGATTAGACACCACGGGCGGCCCTGGGCACAGCTCCCCACCTGACACGCGGACAGAAGCGGGGACAGATCCCCCTTACGCACCCACATCTCAGCAAACACCTCCGGCTGCTGAGATGGATCGGTCTCCTGGTCATAGGAGGCTATTCCTCAGAGCAGGTGGGTATCCTGGGGAGGAGCCATTGTCCTCTAAGGGCAGGGCTACCTGGCTCAGCCAGAGTTTCTGGGGCTGGGAGCCTGGCCAGTCCACTCATCAGAGGCAGGCTTCCCCACAAGGGAGTGGGTCAACCTGTTCTGCCTAGCTCAAGCCCTCTGGGTGTGATTTTTTTTTTCCAGGCCAGCAGCTCCCAGGCACTTCCTTTAAAAACACCTTGGGCAGAGACCGGGTTCCCATTCTGCACCCACACCCCTCCCGGACTATCTTCACCCCACCTCTTCTGTTGGGATTTCAAACCCTCGCCTACCCATTCCTACCAATGTGGCTCCTTTCCTTGGTCTCCCAAACTTCTGGTCTATTTCCCCAGACCGTCACAATGACTCCGTCCCCTCACCTGGCTTCTCTTCCCCTTCCAGGACTCCCCCAAGACTCCAGCTGTGAGACAACTAGGAGGTGCCAGGACACATCCCAGAGTCCCCTGAGATCACAAGCTAGCCTGTCTCTCCTGAGGAATTCAGGCTGCATGAAGTAAGGCCCATAACCCAGGAGGGGCAAAAACTCGCCACCTACTCACCCACCCTGCCGGGCAGTTGCTAGGGTTTCACTATCGATAATAACAGGAGTTGCCTCTTGCCTACTTTGGCAAATGCTTTCAACACAGACCCCTCCATCCTCAAGAACAAGTACCAGCACTGGGAAGGTGTTGTTACCGCCCCATTTTTGCAGATCATAAGTCTGAAGCTTAAAAGGTCACTTTATGCAAGGCCACTCAACAAAGACATGGCAGAGCCAGATCTTGGACTCGGATTTCATCAGTTTCAACCTTTCTGCTCTTAAAAACAAACAAACAGCTGGGCGGTGGTGGCGGCGCACGCCTTCAATCCCAGCACTCGGGAGGCAGAGCCAGGCGGATCTCTGTGAGTTCGAGGCCAGCCTGGGCTACCAAGTGAGTTCCAGGAAAAGGCGCAAAGCTACACA